ATGAACCGCTATGCCGCGGATAATTATCACTGATTGGTTCTTCTATCTGTGAGTATTTTAATACATGTAAATCTTTTAAATAGTGTATTTTAACAATCTCTTAAGTTTGTAGTGTAATAGTATGTTTCAGTTTTATTAAGCTCAAGCTGTATGACAGCATATAAAGATACAAAATATTGGTACTGGACTTCACTTGTTATAACATTTTACATAAATCACAGCTCTACTGACTTGACAGTTGCGGTCATTTACATTCATACTTCTCAAATATTATGTTATTCATGCTTATGAAATATTATGTTATTTTCTACATAAATATAGAGAAAAATAAATAAATAAATCCGTCAGGAGAAGGTATATGAAATTCTTCATATTTTAGTTAGTTTCTCTATTTCATAATAAAAAACAGTTCGAAAGATTTGTTGGAGATTTGGCACAACATTTGTATGATGCACAAACCTAATATTTTGTAATTTTGAAAAGAATGAGTGTCTGAAATAATTAATCCAATAATATCACTGGAGAATTGTTGTGTAAAACAGGGAGATAGTTCATATTAAGACAATATCAACAATATTAAATCAACTGACAACAGTGTACGTGTTGGAAATCCTAATCAATTGGGTATTTTTTATGTTTTGACCCCATGCTCTCCAATATTATTTTAGCGGTATTAGTATTTAGTATGCTTTAGTATTTAGTTTTTATATATTTCTAAAGTTTCTAAATATTTAAAAGGAAGATACCTAAAAGCAATATTAGCTAATATTCGCACATAATAGTAATAATAATATTATTACACAGAGTTTAAAGGATGTTCTCTGTTTGGTTGAACAGTTTCTGGTAAATAAATATTCAGTAAATAAGAATTATTATTATTTGTAATTAAGCACAAAGCTACACAAAGGGCTATCTGTGCTCTGCTCACCACGGGTATCGAAACCCGGATTCTAGCGTTGTAAGTCCACAGACATACCGCTGTTTCAGTGAGGGCAGTAAATAAGAACAACGGGACTAACAGCACAGAAACAGAAGTTATTTCTAAGCCCTACTAATTACAGTTAATCTCTGTAAGTGGGAGCGTATTTTTGTTTGAAGTTAAGCATAAAGCTACACAATGGGCTATCTGTGCTCTGCCCACCACGGGTATCAAAACCCGGTTTCTAGGGTTGTAAGTACGCAGATATACTGCTGTGCCACTGGGGGCACGTGGGAGAGTGGTCCAGTGGTCAGCTTTCTGGATTATGTATCTGCGGGTCCAAAATAGATAGATAAAATAAAATAAGAAATTGCGCAGGCGCGTTTATAAAAGTGACGGTTTGGTCAGAGAAGAGGCCCCAAGAGTTGGTGGAGGACGCTGTTGCATAAGCTGCTTTTCCTTTAGTATAGCAAATGAAAATTAGGAACGGCTGGGGAAAATATCTATAAATAACATTTCGGATTCGTTGCTGGGGGTTGGGGGGAGGTTCTGAGTCAACATTCTTGAAACGCCTCAGGTGGCCTTTTCCTCTTTGACTAAGACAGTTTTAGTTGGTTGACAAATCACGTCTCTACCATTTATTGTCAACTCAGTATTGCAGTTTTGCTGTCCTGAATCATCGATTTCGTTGCTATAAACTGTTCCGCCTTGTAATTCTACACTTCTGTTATTTTAAAGTTTACTTGTAAGCGTGTACGCAACATAAATAAATAAAGAGGCACAAGCTCAAGCTCCCATTGATGAAATATATGTATATATATATACAAAAATTCGCGAAAGTAGTATCTTCTTGCTGATAAGGCAGGTGAGAAGATAAGACAGAAGTGAAGACGTCATCGACATGATTTAACACATTTGACGCTTTATTGTGCAAGCATATAGGACTGGCGTGGTTAGGTATCTAGCATGCTGGGCCCAACAGATATGGAAAATCGCAGCATTCGTTTCATAAAATTTGGGATTCACATACTAAGTCAATGTCATGCAGTGACGAATTAAGGCTTGGGCGGTTTGGGCGACTGCCAGGAACCCATGGTTTAAGGAGCCCGTATAGAAACGAAAAAAATTATAAATCAGATGAAATTTATAAATATCTTATTATGTTATTAACTCTTTCAATACGGACTCGATTCCATGGATCGACCACGCGATTATTTTGTATTAATATGTAGTTTTAATACTATATCTTTTAATGTATTATGTTTATTTGTTAGTTTGTTATGTATTTCGCGTAAAGCTACACGTGGGCTATTTGCGCTAACCGTCCCTAATTTAGCAGTGTAAGACTAGAGGGAAGGCAGCTAGTCATCACCACCCACCGCAAACTCTTGGGCTATTCTTTTACCAACGAATAGTGGGATTGATAGTCACATTATAATGCCCCACGGCTGAAAGGGCGAGCATGTTTAGTGGGCTGGGCATTCGAACCTGCGATTTCCAGATTGTGTTATTAATGAAATATTTTTACTAAAGATTTATCTATGAATACATATAGTCTTTTTGTTACTAGTCTGAGTGCAAAGTAATATTTGTATTAAGATTAAAAATATTTTTCTTCGTCTCAAAATTTCAATTTTATAATCTTTAAAACCTCCTGAATAAATTTGAAACATTTTTATAAGTAAAACTTCATACGTTTATCGGTTATTTCTTCTACCCTAACTCTATACAGGACTGGTCAATTTAACCGTCCTCGTAACCACCAGAAAATCGAAATAAATCTAAATTACCACCTTTTTATTTCTAGAATGACTTCAAGTTGTAACATGAAACTACTTTTGTTTCTCCTAAATAGTTATAAACTCATAGCAGTGTACATCTATTTATACTTAAATTGTTTTGTTTTATTGCCCTTTGAATGTGTCTAACCCCCTATTGGGGCCATTATAAGTCATAAATCACTGGTGAACGTGCAACTCATGTTACGTACACTGTGAACAATTTCTTTTACATTATTATTATTATTATCTATTTTACCTAATCTAATCTTAAGTACCTTAAAAAGTTGAGGATCAGAAAAAATGTTTGACAAATTCGACGACGAGGTACTGAAATATGTGATCATAGTGAGTATAGTTCAGTTCAGAAGCGCGTCCGGGTGCGCAACCATTGCCATGATGATGGAGTTGCAGAGAATACCATACTATCACCCAAGGATAAATTCAGAACTGAAGTATTTTTCGCTGTCGTCGGCCAACTTGTTACTTCATTGAAATACCGTCTTTATTCATATAAAGATGTTTCCACCAAATTTTGATTCCTTTCCAAGTTCTCATCTTTTTCATGTCAAGAATTCAGCCAAGCGCATAATGTCTTATTCGTTCTTTTCCGAACGATGTTGAAACTGAGATAGAAAACGAATTGATCCAGTTTTCCACATTGGCAATTCCAGAGCTTTGATGTTCATTAACACAATCTGAACCAACAGAATCAGTGGAGTTAAGAATGTTCCACTTTCTCCATAGACACGCCCTTATCCAAACATTTCCTAATGTTAAGATAGTGCTGAGAATATACTTGCCCATGATGGTATCAAACTGCAGCGATCGCTTTCAAAATTGAAATGGATAAAAAGTAAACTCAGGAACAGAATAGGACAAAACCGACTAATTAGTCTGTCTATAATGAACATAGAATGTGACACACTTCGAAAGCTAGATTTTTCGAAACTCGTTCAGTTCAATTATAATAAAGCCAGAAAAAGGTACATGCAGGTTCTAATCAAGTTTTCTTCATGATTATTGAATAGTGACTAAAATGTGTTTGCACATGTTTTTGGTTTGTCTATATTGTTTACAGTGTTATCCGGCTATGTATATCATTAAAATGTTCTCACATGTATATGCTTAATATTATGATTTTGACATTGAAGTTGACTCAGTTCCTTCCACCTGGGGCCCAAGTCACCTTTGATCCGACACTGATGTCATGACGAGTTTTACAAATGCTCATGAAGAATAGAATATCGGGATTTAAAGATAAAGTAAGATGGGAGATAACTGTCATGAGATTGTTTGTTTGTTTGTTGTTGATTATGCACAAAGCTACACAAGGGCTATCTGTGCTCTGCCCACCACGGGTATCGAAACCCGGATTCTAGCGTTGTAAGTCCGCAGACATACCGCTGTGCCACTGGGGGGCAATGTCATGAGATTCAGAAAGTTGGACTCATAAGGTAATCAATGTAAATGCATTTGAAGCCATAAATCAGAGTTTATTTAAGAAGGCTTTCCAACGAGATTTACAATCAGTTCATCAGTAATTGACTACAAATTCTGTGAAAGAAAAAAAGAACAATATATTCAAAAAATTTTATATGTAAAACCAATTACTTTTTATATAACTATTTAGTCTGCTTATAACTGGCAGGGAGATATGCAGACAACACTCAACTTTGTTGTATGACAGAGAAAGCATGTTTGTTTGTGTTTTAATCCTACATTATTGTTTGTTTTAATATTTTGGCGCAAGGTGGCGCCAGCAATATGTGACAGCGAAACTATTTTACATGCGTAGCTCAATGTGTACGAGTATATTTTGAGATAAGTACTAACTTTCAACGGAACTCGCGGGAATACAACCACACGAGTAAAGATCTGCCGAAAAACGCTCCACATAAAAGTGACAAGCTAGGCATTCTGTCAAATCCTGTTAAGACTTGCTGTGATGGGAATTTGACAAATAGAAGTCGAGAACAAAATATAGGGAGTTTCAACTCGCCTTCCTGCTATCCACAGCCAGGTTGTTTTTATGTAAGTGAACATCTGATCTCAATTGTCGCTGAAGTATGGAGTAAAGAGGAAAGAGCATAATATTTCATGAATGATATCATAGTTTCTACAAGCATATAGCATACGAATATCTCCTTTCTATCTACCAGTGTATTACTTCCTTCCATCCTCCTCCTGACTCAGGCTTAATTATTTTAAATAGAAGCCATGGGCATCTGATTACCTCTCTCAAGTTTGTTCTTTTCCTTCCACCAGGGAACCCACTCTTCAGGTCTAGGTTTTGCGATCAGGGGAGACTATGTCGAGGGTGAGACATGGCTACATAGGCCACGAAATATGTACAGACGGTTGTCCCGAGAAGAGCCGTAGAAACCACTCAGAAAACGGATTGAAACAACGTACATCGCTTGTCGTGGAAATGGTAAGTGCTTTGGTAACTCATCTGAACTTACACTAGGTACAATTTTGTAGAGTTCTAATTTAGCACTGTTTCCACTTACTTCTATTGTTTTTTTTAGTAAACCTAGCCACAGCTTTTCGACTTTCGGCACAATTATTGTAAAGTTTCATAATGTCTATTCTTTCACTTGATCCTCACGTTTTAGGCCCGGCATGGCCAGGTGGTTAGGGCGCTTGACTCGAAATATGAGGGTCGTGGATTCGAACCCCCATCCCGCCAAACATGCTCGCCCTTTCAGTCGTGGGGGCGTTATAATGTGACGGTCAATACCACTATTCGTTGGTAAAAGAGTAGACCAAGAGTTGGTGGTGGGTGGTGATGACTAGCTGCCTTCCCTCTACTCTTTTACTGCTAAATTAGGGATGGGTAGCGCAGATAGCCCTCGTGTAGCTTTGCGCGAAATTCAGAATAAACGAAACCTTCTGGTTCTCATTATGAAGCAACGATGTAAATTATTTTGGGCCTCCTCTCCCCAGAGCACTTTTAAAATCTAGAACTTATTTCTTTGCTATTTCCTCAATCTGTGTAAGATTTTGGTAAGACAAAGAAACATTTCTTTTTTATGGACTAGTATTTATTTTCTAATTTTTAATACCGACATTGGTACTGAGTGTTCTAATGATCTTTCGCTATCACTAGCTTTATGAATTTTTACTGCAAAGTGTTTTTACGAGAATAGGAATACCAGGCAAAAAGATTAGTGCAGTGATGCAGTCTGCAAAAATTTCTGTCAGACGTTTGGATGTAAGTAAACATTATATCAAAAAGCTCATATTCGAAACGTAATTTCTAATTTTGATTTTCAGGAGCGCTCCGACCGCCCTACATCACTGGTTTATAACACATGTATTGACAATGCTTCAACTCAAAATTCTAAAATTGTCCATAGCAATAGTGAGAAAATCTTGGAAAATCAACTAGTAATCCTAAAATAAGTCCTGATCGAAGCTACTGTAGATTACTAAAAGTATGTTTATAATACACGTCGAGCAGTTTATCATCGAAACACATTTGGTTGATTTTTGTCTTCATATGTAAAAAACAAAAATAATTTAATTAAAAAATCCGATGAAAATTACAAAGTAGCATACAGAAAATAGTTAATTTTTGATCGTAAATACTAGTAATAATTGCAACGGTTTTTAAAGCGCAAAACCTTGACTTTTCTATCAAAAGATGGTTATGGATAAAGAGAAATGAAACAACGAATTCTCCATGAGATTACAAATCAAGAAATAAATATAACAAAATCAAAAATTTTAAATTTAGCTCCCGAAAACAAGGGAATGTCGGTGCATTCAGTGGTATTTGCTTTAAATGTTTGAACGTTTTTTTTTTCACATGCGCATCCAGCTCAAGAGTATTCACGTGCTAGGACGTTTTTTCTGTTCAGTTTATAACGAAACTGGACGATTGCTCTTAATGTTGACGCTGCTAATACGTTTCATTTATCTGGTTTTACTAATTTAATAATACTGAAAGAGCATAGTTAGAAATAAAGATAAAAAATTCTTTATTAGCTTCAGTAATCTGGGAAACGACAAAGCACCAGAAGGAAATCGTAAAAAGAGGATATATTTAATAGAAGCAATCACATATATGTTCATGTTATCGTGAAGCTAAACTAAACTTTAAACTATCCGCTCTTCGTTAGTTTTACCAACTAACTAGTCGGAAAGAGCAAGCTCCTTCAAGATGTTGAGTTCCTTAACTTTAAATATTGAGTATTCATATCGGGTACACAATCTTGATGTGCTCAAAGGTTGGATCATAAAACTAGAATCTCTGTTTTATATCATTTATGACTTCTTTGTAGAATTCTCTGGTTAAAGAATGGATCTTTGTGATCTCTTCATGATTCATATTTACATCATTTCTTTCCAGATTTATCAGTATGGACTCTGGAAAGATATCTCGATATACTTTGTTAAGAGTTAAATACTGACCGTGTTTTCTTTATGTCAATAGTCATGATGTCATTATCTGATTTAACATACTTCTCATTCATGAAATTTGTAGTAAATGTTTTAATTAGTTTCTTTATTTCTACATGTAACCTATGTAAAATCGAAGAATCACTTTGAAAGAAAATTTTAAACGGAAAACTCCTAGGTTGGCACAATAGCAATTATAAACGTTAAATGGGTGCTAAAACATCGATTCAGAGGATCAAAAACTGTTTAATAAAATTCCGCAATTAAATATTGATAATTTCAGTTATATAATGGCGTATTCTGGAGGCTGCCATTTTCCTTTCATCCTCTTCGTTGTGACGTATAAGCGTACAGAAAAATAAATGCATGTGACTGACTTCGTAGAACACTTCGCTTTGATGTGTGGTGCAGAATCGTAAGACTAGAGTCATAAGTCCGCAGGAAAATATACAAAAATATGATGGCATTTTAAATAGATATGTGCGGAGACATTGAAAAATCCTGTGGCTTTTGTGTTTAACATTCATAATAATAATGGCTTACTATAAAAAATGTGAATCAAGTATACATAAGTGTATTAAACAATTAATTGATAAAATACTTTCATTTTAATGTGTCAAGCATTTTGTCAGTAAACAAAAACAAACAAATATTACTTAGGATATTTCATAAATAACAGACTTTAAAATACGGTAATCTGGATTATGAATGATTAAAAGTATATTTTCTTGTATGTGTGCTGTTTATCAAAACAAAACTAAACTTACCATTATAAACTGTACAAATGATTTGCTTCCTGTACTGCCCTCCCCCCAGTGGCTCAGCGGTAACTCTGGAGGCTTATAGCGCTAAAAACCGGGTTTCGATACCTCTGGTGGCCAGAGCATAGATAACTCATTGCGTAACAACAAACTTAACAACAAATAAACCTTCTGTGCTTCTTAGTTCACCTTCTCTCATCCAGTCATACGGACACACCTTTTGTCACAAAAAGAAATAGACTGTAGTTTAACTGATTTCAACTGCTTTCCTTGCATAGACCATCTTTTTCTCTTCCTCCGGCCCGGCATGACCAAGTGGTTAGGGCGCTCGACTCGCAAACTGAGGGTCGCGGGTTCGAATCCTCGTCACACCAAACATGCTCGCCCTTTCAGCCGTGGGGGCCTTATAATGTGACGGTCAGTCCTACTATTCGTTGGTAAAAGAATATCCGAAGAGTTGGCGGTGGGTAGTGATGACTAGTGGCCTTTAGAGCAATGAATATAACAACTAGGCGATTTTTAGTTGACATGAATGATGATTGAAAGTTATGGTTCTTGAAATTACTCACCATTCACTTTAACTCGTGCTTTTCGTGGTAACATTTTCAGTTACAGAAAACTGTAAATTAGAATGTAATTTAAGAGTTTTCAGTATATTTCAAGAAAATATTTAAAAGTATCACTTGTGTGTCTAGCTGATAGAGTCATTATTCGAGATAACTTTCGTTCAACACGCAACAGTTTAAACCAAAAATCTATTCATTACAATCACTTTGTTTTTCAGTACTTAAAGAGATTGTTTCATTCCCGCCCACTAAACGTTCGGGCTGAAAAGTCTTCTTGTGCCAACTTCTCAGATTCTTGATGTTTTATTCGCTTCTCGACGTGCGTATTTTCGTTTGTTTGTTTGTTTTTTGAATTTCGTGCAAAGCTACACGAGGGCT